CCGGCAACAACTTCATTCCCCTCGACTCGACACCATCGTCTCCCTCACCTAGATTGTTTCATCAATTGTTGCTAGTTGTAGGCTATAGCTAGGTGGACCATTTCACTCCAGCTACAGCAGTGTCTTCTTTATCTATCCTCTAGTGATCGCTGTGTGTGTGAGATTCACCCATCCACCATCGACCATGAGCATCTCCGTGAACGGGCATTCGGTGGTGCCGCCGGGGTTCCGGTTCCACCCCACGGAGGAGGAGCTGCTCACCTACTACCTCGCCAAGAAGGTGGCGTCCCAGCCCATCGACCTCGACGTCATCCCCGACGTCGACCTCAACAAGCTCGAGCCATGGGACATCCAAGGTGAGTTCATGCATGAGTTCCTCGCCAATGCTAGTTCGCATGTGCGTGCCCATGGTGAACCAACTAACTGGCCATGGAAAAACGCGTGCATGCAGAGCGCTGCCGGATCGGCACAGGCCCGCAGAACGACTGGTACCTGTTCAGCCACAAGGACAAGAAATACTCGACGGGGACGCGCACCAACCGCGCCACCGCCGCCGGGTTCTGGAAGGCCACCGGCCGGGACAAGGCCATCTACTCTGCCGCCGGCTCCGGCCGCATCGGCATGCGCAAGACGCTCGTCTTCTACAAGGGCCGTGCCCCACATGGCCACAAGTCTGACTGGATCATGCATGAGTACCGCCTTGACGACGCCGTCGCCCCTGTGACCAACCCCGTCTTTGCTGCCGGCGACACAAGTTCCTACTACTCCGGCATCTCATCCCCGGTACGTCTACTGTACCACCTACTTCCAGTTCACACTATTCTACTGTACTCCCTCCGTTTTTAAATATAAGTCTTTGTAAAGATTTCACAATAGACCACGTACGAATGTATATAAATGCATTTTAGAATGTAGATTCATTCATTTTGCTTCGTATATGGTCCATAATGAATTCTTTTCAAAGACTTACATTTAGAAACGGAGGGAGTAGTATGTTGCGACTGCATGCACGGTGGCCGACAGGAATCGAAATAGCTCGCGAGTGGTGCATGTGTGCGGTCAATGTACGTACTGTACGCACATACTTTCTATGTATGTACACGCGGCACATATGCGACAGTAGTGAAGATTATGTCCGGATGGTGGTTGGGAATGGGAACACACATGACATGATGCAATGGGTTAATTTGCAAGAGTGGGAGCTGTGATTTCCTTTGGATGGGTCGGCGTCACGGAAAGGGTGGGTACTGGGTAGTAGGTTCAGTACTTGCGAGCAGACATAATCGATATTTGTTAAATTAAAATTTAAATAGCGGTGGCAGCTCGACTAGAAGTTATGAAAAATTATAAAGCTATAAATCCGATTTAGTGTTCCTTTTAAACCATTATTTTAAAAAATAAGAGCACAATCGGCTACGATCATATATGTCTGCTACTGGTCGAATAGTGGACATTTGCATGCGGAGACACTGGCATGTGACAAACTGCCAACAAACCTGATGAGACCCACCTTGAAATTATATGAGACCAGGTCTCATATAATTCGGGTGAGACCCACCCTAATGGATGACACGTGTCATTCATAAACCAAAAAGCATCTAATCCCTCCCCCCTGATTTCAGGTGGGGGATGAGGGAGATGCTTTGTG